ACAGTTAATTTTTTCTGCCATCACTCAATTAGGAACTTACTTTTTTTAATTCTTACATAATATGGATATTGGTGAAAAATGTAACAGTAACATCGTAACAATAAACCAACGTTAGAATAGTGTCAATAAATATATAAAGCCTTTAAGTAATTTTAAATAAATTAAATCGACACTTCATTTGCGCTTAAACTGTTGTTAAGTATAAAAAATATGTATATTATAAGTTATAAGTTAAAACTATAGTGCTCGGAAGTTATAAGAGCTAAAAAAAGAAAATTATTCATGTAAATATGCACAAAAAATTGTTGATGTTAAATATGCATAATATCCAAAAAAAATTATTAAATTGTATTAAAAAAAATGTAAAATTTGGAAAAATAAATTTATAATAATCAAGAAATGTGCACTTTCCCCTAAAATTGACGAAACATGCAAAATATACATTTTAAATTTTTGATTTTTAAATTGACCATTGCATAGCTTAGAATTGTTTAACTTAGTATGCTATAAATCGAGAGCATATACCTAAAATAATATACAACTCGTGCAACTTCCAAGCCCTAATTATAACTTTTAAAATACTATCCTCTTCACCAACTATTTTCATTTATATGTATTATTATGAAATAATAATTTTTAAATCATTAATGCATTATTGTTAATTTCATTCTCATTGAGAACTACTAATAATACATAAAAAAATAAAAATGTTCTCACTCATGCATTTTCTAATCATAACCAGCGAGATGGGAGATAGCAGTAAAATATGGACTTCCTTATACGACCTGCAGTGTTGAGTGTTGATTATTTTAAGTGTAGTAAAAACAATTAAATTAATTAATAACTTTACTTTTAACTATTAAGTTTAAACACTCAATATTAAATCTAAAATTCAAAAAAATCAAAACCACCGACACTAATTGGATACGTCCTTTAAAACAATTCACTGTTGTAATATAACGGTATAAATAAATAAATAAATTCTATTCGATAAAACATTTACGAAGTGTACCTATACAAAACAATATATTCTACTTTTTAGCCAGCATGGTATTACATTTATGTTTATTTACTATATAGCCAACTTAATATTTTTTAATATATGTCGTATATTCACGTTCTTATATAAGTTTTGTCATACTTATTGTTATTTATACATTGTTTAAATTGTAATTATTATTAACATAATATTCTGTATAATTGGGCTCAGCCCGTATTGTTGATGATAAATAAATAAATATTATCATAGTTTACTTGTTTTTAAAGTAAAAGTTAAATTCCTAGCGCCGTCCATAATATTATACTTAAACGTTAGAATATGTGTAAATAATATATACATTATAATTTATATCATTATATTTATGTATATCATTCACATTTTTCATATTCAATGCATTCAAAACAGTTTAAACCTAGTTTAATGTAATAATTAAAATAGAATTAAATTTAAAATAATACTATAATTTATAATAATATTCTACTAATGATTCTAGTTATAACTAAATATTTGTAGTTTTTAGTATTATTTTTACAATCTGCATTGGATCTTGTCACACAGAAGCAACGACAGTTAATTTACAAAATCATTTATAATGTAATATCTTGGTGGAATAATTAGAAAATATCAATAAATCCCTCCAAATGTGTAAGCGTTTGTTCATTCTACATCGTAACCTTATTTCACCTTCGCTTAATTTTAACAATATAGCAATCCCAATTGGAAGCCGCCCGGCAAGTATCTTATGGTGTAAAGTTGGAGAAAATATTAACTTGGTTGTCGCACTTATTATCAAAACTACAACAAGCCAAGCAATGCTGTTCCCAATTCTAAAGATGAAGTCGACACCACAGAAAAAATTATCGAAACAGTATACTTAAACAATTCCGGCCTAAGACTAGCTTCCAGAACATTATTTAGATCCAGTCCGATTTCCAGCATACTCAATATTTCTCGTACGCTGTTTGTATGTCTAATGTGAAAAAAAATATTATGTATAGAAAATGCTAATATAAACCACCAGTGAAAATGTCATGTATCTACGGTCATTTGTTTTAGAGTTATACCAAAAACCAAAATCGATTTTTTCGAGCACCAACTGGCAACTAGATCGACTTTCCTATCAGAAAACATACTGTTGAAGAAAATTTAAGCATTTTTACTGTCTGTTTAGGATAACTACATATCCTAATTCCTAAAGAAACTTTTGTATATTTTTATAATAAAAATATATAAATATATAAAATAAATAAATTTATTTTTTGATACAATTAATACAGTGTATTAAATACACAATAATAATATGTCAATATAAATTTGCCAGATTGTTACAACAATCTTGTATTTGTTTATAGGTACTTTCCATCATCGTTCGCATGGCTTTTATGCAGCGACAGGCCTAATGGATTTAAACTTTTAATAAAACCTAAAGAGAGGCTTCGGCAAAACTGACGGTGAGTCGTAACGTACTCTATGTACATTAGGGTGTTCCTTAATTTTCAATTTCAAAATATTTTTGGTCTCACCTCCTAAATCGGTGTGTATACATATAAAAGTGAACTGCAAAAAATTTCAGGTCAATTAAATAAAGTTAACCCGTGCCGACTTGAAGTTAAAGTTTGAGCTTAATACATTTTTAAATAATATTAGACAATTTTTGTATTTTCGTAAATATTTCGTAAACCATTATGAAAATCGTAATTTTTGACAATATGTTTTTTCAAGTAAATTAAATTTCCAATATATTTTATAATATAACATTTTTTAATAAATCTATTAATTTATAAGATGCATAAGTTTTAATCTTAAAAAACAGAATTTCTCCACAAATTTATAATTTACATTTTATTATTTTATTGTAGGATTAATAATAATAATCTTAACTTATAATATTTGGTAAAATTATAAAATGTTCAATGTTCATAGTAATATTATGTACTTCTTATACACTTATTTGTGTAATTATTGGTTCTTCATATTTTCGTATTATACTCGTAATAATATCGTAAATAATAAACGATAAGATTGTGAAAACGATTAAGATGTGTTGAAATACGTATTGTTCATCTATAACTTATCGCATTAATAGTTTCCGTAGGTATTAGTCTTGCTTTATAATTTATAAAAGATATTATTTTGTTAGTGATACTCATTTATTTCAGTTGTGTCAACGTCTATTATGTGTTAAAGGTTATTATTGTGTTTGTCGTTAGTAATTCATAATAATTTAAATAGCAAAAATGTCAATAAAACTGAGAAGTGATTTTTAAATATTTTTAATTGGATCTCAAATCACACAAATTCATGGCTCAAAACTTCCATCCAACGGGCAAGTACTTTCTGTATTTTTCTACAATATGAGAACCGTTAATCTTACTACTAGGGAAAGTGCGGCGTTAGCTGTACGAGAGTGTTGCATTTTTTGGGAAAAAGCCCGGATTCCTATTCGAGCTATTCATCATTGCATAACTAAATTAATTAACTTGTACGAGGAATGGCGTAATCTACAGAAAAATGCACAAAAAGTTGGTGAATCTTATCGGTTAAAAGAAAATGATTTAAAAAAAAAAATAGATTTGTTATTTGATATTGCTCATTCTGATGCGTTAAAATTAATTATTAATAGAAGTTGATAAACAGTTTCTAATAAACCAGCGTTTACCAGGGCGTCCTGGTTGTCTCGGAGGTATAGATATTAAAGGAGAAATAAAAGAAAATATTCACAATCAACGAAAGTTGAATGAATCGAAAAGAAAAGAAATGTATAATACAAGTTGTGTTTCAACTTCGACATTACTCGATAACAAATTTGAGCAAAATTTAGAAACTGATAGTCTAGAAAGTAGCGATATATCGGAATTAGAGACCAGCATTAATTCTTTAGAGCTAATAGAACCACAAACTAAAAAAAAGAAATGCCGTGGAAAAATAAATTTTATAACACCAAAATTGGCCGGAGCGTTAGATAGATGTCAATCAAGTATTCGAGATTCTGTATATGTTCTCCAGGCTACTTTAGAAGCTTTAAATTTTAATACAGACGATTACGTAATAAACCAGACTTCTATACACAGAGCTCGAGAATCATACCGTTGCGAGCGTGGTGAACTAATAAAATTACAATTTAAGAAATCACTACCTAATTACGCATTGGATGGAGATTGGGGACTATGCAATATAGTACAAGCTCTGTGTACTATTTAATTACGCTTATGCGTCTTTTAAATAAATAGATTTATCAAAAAATGTTATATTATAAAATATATTGGAAATTTAATTTACTTGAAAAAACATATTATAAAAAATTACGATTTTCATAATAGTTTACGAAATATTTACGGAAATACAAAAATTGTCTAAAATTATTTAAAAATGTATTAAGCTCAAACTTTAACTTCAAGTCGGCACGGGTTAACTTTATTTGATTGACCTAAAATTTTTTGCAGTTCACTTTTATATGTATACACACCGATTTAGGGGGTGAGACCAGAAAAATATCATTATTTTTTTTTTCTTATATGGCTAAGGAACACCCTAATGTACATCTTACAAAACCTTTTTCGCCGTTGCTTAGGTATGGGCCCTATAGAACAAAATTCACGTGGAGGTCCCTCCGGCATTTGCTGCAGTCATTAAATCCGAAAACGCGGCTGATGTTATTTTGGCGGCGTTCAGCTCTCTACTGCGCAAGGCTGGGGAGACAGACGCACGCGATCTCCGGCGGCGAAACGTCGCTAGATGGATATCGATTTTCTCGCTATCTGACGGTACCAAACGGCGTGTGCATGTGGACGACAATATTGTTTCCGACGTCGTCGAAACGTTAAACAATATCATCCGTCGTTCTGTCCCAGACGATAATATAAACGAATAACAGTTCTCGCGGACGAGAGTACTATACGGGACGTTTTCCCGAGAAAACAACTCGGTCTTTAATATTATACAGTCGAGTGGTTGATAACTTTACGTTTGCAGACCAGTGGAAACAACTCTGTCGTGTGATATGGCTTGGAAATTGTTGATAACCGTTCACAATTTCATTGTATTGGCGCACTGCGGTGAGTATATATAATATAATAATATAATTATGTGTATATGATATACCGTTGATACCAGCTCGAATACGCGTGATAACGTAATATTTTACGTAAATATTGTAGGTATATACAATATACATATAATATTATCTTAAAGCCTTTAGAGTTCAGGCAATAGGCATTGGGTAGATATCAGGGACGGATCTAGGGGGGGGGGGCAGCCGCCCATAGTTTTTTTCAAATCATATATTTAAAATTAAAAACGGAAAGTGTTTCGTACGACATTTTTCTGCTGAATTCAAATATTTTAAAGTATTCTTGAGTGGTACCCGCATTGGCCACATTGAATTTTCTTCACACTAATAATCGTTTACTACCAACGCATAGATCCCGGGCGGCTAATACGAGTTTGGAAATTGCCCAAATGTAACCCCTTAGATAATAGCCGTAGAGAGGCCCTGTTTTCTGGCTTAGGTATATAGGTTATCAATATAAAAATGTATACCTATAATAATTATTTTCAATTTTTATATTCGCTTTTGTCATAGTTGACTGGTCAGGAAAAATCTACCAGACAAACGCGGCTTTAGAAAAAGAAAACCTCATGTTTTGTTACGAGTGCAATACAATGGTAAACGGGAAAAGCTGCAGTGATTTCACAGACAAGGAGGAGTATTTGAAATTCTCTACGAAATGTACAGGAGATAAAAAAACATGCATGGTAAACAACTATAATATAATATTAGAATAATGACCTTAAATATTATAATCAGGTGATGACACCTGTCTGAAAACAATTGAGACAGCTGATGGATATCAATATGATAATACAATGGAACTATAGGTACACACCAAGTACACGTCATATTAGGACATAATATATTATATAAGTGTATTTTTAATTACAATTATTTTAAAAATGTTTTGGTTCGTACCCCATGTACTGTGTAGTGTAGTACCCTGCAGCTGTGTCCTAAAAAATAACGTAATAGCATAAAAAATAAAAACATACATTTACATATTATATAATATAAAATAAACAGACGAGCAGCGAACAGACAGGTTTACGAATAAGTAATAATTGAGAAAATACATTTCCAACAAAGGATATAAGGTCGGAAACCTATTGTGTGAATGCAACTAAAATATACGTATAATTAAATTATCATGTTTCGTTAAGCACAAGGTGGTGCATAGTGCATATCAAATTATTAAAATTATAATATAACTACTCAACCGATAAACCAATCGAATTCTCACTGGTTGTTTTATTAGCATTTTCTATACACGAGACAATTTTCAAAATATTTTCATTTGTTTTGAACTGTCTAAAGACATTTTCAGTTTCCAGTTTTTTTTGGTTTTTTTTCTAAGAATGTAAATACAATTTGATTTGTTGGATAAAAAAGCTTGACATTTTAATACAAAGCTCCTAATATATTGTTACAATGACATTTGAAAAATATTAAAAATCCAGTTCTAATTTTTTTTTATAAACACTTAAAGTTCAAATCTTCACAAGATACGTAAAAATTACGAAAATCTGCAAATTATTTTGTGTAAGAAATTCATAAGTTTATCTACCTTTATCAAAAAAAAAAAAAGTGTCTACATTAAAGTCAAATTTAATCTTGATGAGCGTTTGAAGTTAATATTTTTACAACATTGGATATTCACTCGAATTCTCATGTAACCATTTTCTTATTTTGTTGTAATTCAAAAACGAATAACTGTAGATACATGAAAATTACACTGAATGTTTATATTTACATTTTCTATAGACCATACAATTTTGAAAATATTTGACTCATTTTGAGCTGTTTACAAATATTTTCAGTTTTCAATTTTTTTAGTTTTTTTTCTATAATAAATTGTCATTAAAATATACTATAGGTAATATTTCTGTTTTTTTCTTAAAAATATAGTCTACAATCATTGAAGTAATGCATTATTACTAATCAAGGCGTGTTTTAAAGTCGCTGAGCTGAGTTGAATTATTTTTCCGACTATTTTAACATAAATTACATCTAAAGTTCAAAGACTTATTTATAAAATTATATCTCAACTTTTAGAGCAGTTTTTTTTTTAATACGTTTATTGCGAAGTGTTTTTGTCGGAATCCATATATATATATATTAATAGATTAGATAGGTAGACATAATGGTATATGACCTTAAATCGATATTTGATACAAAAACATTAATATTTGTTAAATAATTAATTGAGATGTGAAGGTATAGTTTAAATATTTAATAATTGTGTAAAGTAAAATAGGTAGGTATGTTGAGATAAAAATTCAATAACTTTGTTTATTAATAATTTAGGAAATCAGAAAAAATGTCGGTCACGTGCTAACATACTGATATACATATTAAGTTAATATTTTTCATCATATTAACTTATTGTCACTAATCGAGTTAAATTTATGGTTTGTCAACTTCAGACTTATCGATCTTGTGTTCTCTTAACTTAACTTGAGTTCATTATTTTCATTAATTTTCCCTCCTTTGAGTACCTAATATATAGGGTTAAAATTCTGAGGGAGGGGGGCTAGAGAACACCTAACAAAACTATTTATTAATAATAATATCACATAGAGGACTTATATCTAAATCGATAAGGTATATTTTTGAAGAAACTGAATCATATCAAGAGTGGCAGGGGGGGCATTAGTTGTGCCACTGTAGCGTAAACGTACACATAACCAACGTATGCTCTTATGGATATACGATTCTCGTTTTTCCGTAAATACGACATTTTATTATTATTACTGTTAATAAGATAAATGTATTATACCTAATTGTAATTTAACACTTCGGTGATACACTTGTATTTCGATATCCGAAAGCCACCTAAATATCGGGCGCGATTAATGTACATGACCAGTCCCATCCGCAGTTAACGAGTTGTGTCCCGACCGAATTTCTGGTACACGAGTTGTGTCCCGGTGATAAAATTAGGGTACACGAGTTGTGTCCTGACAGTTTTATTAAGTTGTATACAAGTTGTGTGCTGATAAACTCAAATCGATAGTTTACACAAGAATAAAATTATGCTGTTTTGTCGGTTGAAATAAAAACGTTTTTATAATTTCAAATTAAGTCTATTCTCAATTATTCTGTCCATTATTATTATCGTGTGGTGATAAGGTGTGTACTGTATATGGAGCTACAACGATTGTCGTTGTACACTTGTACCAGTCTATCATGATTATTCGCCATCTACTTTATTAAGATAACGAACTCTATTATATACATTCTGTAACTATATTCGGCATTTCCGTTTGAATTTTCGACGGGATTCGATTAAATAGTAATACAATATTATAAGAATAATTGCTAGTCAGTCAAACATCATACGTTCACTATGGAGCAAATGACAAGTGAGAAGTACAAAATTATTTGGGTAATTGATGGTTATAAATGTTGTTTCCACAAATTATTGAAGTCCGATTTGCAGAGATGGAGATGTACTAAAACGTCGTGCAAGTCTTTTATAAAAATGAATAATGATACTGAAATAATTTAACGCAAAATTAATCATAATCATGAAAACCTTGAAACGCCTATTCTAAATAGACAAAAAATGAGTAATATTTTAAAAAGAAAAGCTATAGATAATGTGTGTGATAGACCATGTAAATTAATTCACAATGAGCTACCAAAGGAAGACGTGGAAACACTAACTTCTTACTACGTTACTCGTATTCGTGCGATAATATGTATCAAGCTCGATCTCATATTTTACCAAAACTGCCAAAATCCATTTCAGATGTACATGAAATAATTGAAAATCTTAAATCATATCATATAATGGATAATTATAAGTATTTTATACTTTTTATTTATATTAATTTGACAAAACGACGTTATTTATTATTGTAGGTTAGCTTAACTTTTTAGTTAAAAGTTTTTGAAATATTATTATAATGATTTGATTTGAAAAAAAATTCAGGGACATAATTCGTTTGCAGCCATCCCGTCACCCCCTCACGATCACGAAACGATTTCATTCGGCGGTATACTGCACGTTTTCGATGGCTTCTCGTTTCCGCCCCGGCCGATTCCATATTGATAATATTAATCGTATACTTCAGCATGAATGATACATTTTTTCCTTCACTTAGATATTTTAAAGGACAACATCTGTTTTCAAATTATTTTTAGTTCGATCCGTCGAAATGTAGGTATATCTACAACGATGCCGCGCAAGTGCGCAACACATGTTTTTCTACCATCCCGAAACACTTGTTGCGTCCAGTTGTATTGAATACAGTCCATGCTACTTTTATGTGTTTGAATTGAAACCGTACAGATGAAATGCCATAACTACTTATAAGCCGGTGGCGGCCTTGAACCTTGCACATTATATTAGACATACCTAATTATTATTATTTTAAATTAACTGTCTCTTTATGCTTATTATTATTACGATTAAAAAAAAAAAAAAAAAAAACAATGTATACAATCACACGTAACTAATTATTATTATTTTAAATATTTTTTAATTAACTGGCTCTTTATACTTATTATTACGTTGCGTCCGTATTCAAAATAATTTGATAATTTTCGTAATTTTTCCATATTTTGTCAATTTTTGGACTTTAAATGCTTATACAAAAAAAACTGTGACTAAGGATTTTTAATATTTTTCAAACGCCATTGTAGCAATATAGTTGGAGCCTTGTATTAAATATTCAAGCTTTTTTAACAAACAAATAAAATTTTATTGATATTTTTATAAAAAAAAGTAAAAAAAAAATGGAAAATGAAAATGTGCCTAAACAGGTCAAAATAAATCAAAACATTTTGAAAATGTTATCGTGTATAGAAAATGCTAATATAAACATTCAGTCAAAATTTCATGTACCTACGGTCATTTGTTTAATAGTTGCACCAAAAACCAAAATCGATTTTCTCGAAAACAGATTTTGCGTAAAAATTTCCGTTTTTCCTTAATTTTTCTTTTGTTTTTCACTGCGCTTTTGAAAACTACTGGGAAATTTTTATTTTTGGCCTCTCAAAGTACCAACTAGATTCACTTTCCTATCAGAAAAGATACTGTTGAAGAAAATCCAAGCACTTTTACTGTCCTAAAAGGTGATGACAGGACACAAAAAAAAATTAAAATTAAAAAAAAAACACACATCATTGTAAAATCAATACATTCATCGTTCCACTCAGAATCTAAAAAATATACGAGTGAACCGAATATTTTTCTGAACACTTATTAGGATTATTCTGTACGGTCATAATCGTACCAATTTTTAAGTGGTTTATCCGAATGATAACAACATCAAATATTTTTCAAATAAGACTACACAAATGTTTTACACCCGAGTTCATCCTATTTCCCACTGTACGTCAACCGGTACGATGAGTTTCCTTACAATGCAATATCATAAAGCCCCGTACACACTATTGTAACATTTGCGCGTAACATCCTTTGATGCGGCCAAATTTACCACCGACAATTGGTGGAAAGGTGTTAACAGCTTAACAAAAAATGTTACAAGTGTGTACGCGGCTTAATGTTATGCGTACGGCCGGAGTTGTACGCGTAGCATATAAATTATATTGTTATTATTTATTAATGTGCGATAGGAGCACTATAATCCTGTGGCTATAATCCTGGGATGTTGTTCTATGGTCGTTTCCAGTGATGCGTTTCCCCACCTAACTGCATCGGTGGCGGCAAAACGAGTCCGCACCACATGTATTT